GCTAAAAACGGTAAATGAAAATAGAAATGTTTCTCATATTTCATTACTGTATAATTTTACAGTTATTTATATAATTGCATTACTACTATACCGGAAGGAAGGAAGGAAGGATGGATGGATGGATGGATGGATGGATTTAATAAAGCTGAGAGAGAGACTATCATCTTTCTGAAGGTTGAGAAACTTATTGAAATCAGTGTTAACTCTTTAAAGACTCATTGGAATGCCAATCCAAATTTGAGTCTTTGTGCTTTCGATCAATTCAAGGTTTGTTAATACTGTATTTAGATGTCACCTAAAGGCATTAAAGTTGGCATGATGTTAAAAAATAGGTAAAAATCATCATCAAAATGTGGACACAAAAAGATACCATAGTATTACCACAGTAAAGCATCTTATAGAAGCATTTAAGTAACTGTTATATAACTATCAAATATCTGATACAACTTTCTTCATTGAACACAAAAGATGATATTTTGAATAACAGTTGACTGTAGCCACTGACGTCCATAGTATGAAAAAAATACTATAGTCAATTGTTACCATCAACTGTTTGGTTACCAGCATATTTCGAAATATCTTCTATTGTGTTCAACAGAAGACAGAATCTTATACAGGTTTGGAATAACATGAGGATGAGTAAATGACCATTTTCATTTTTGGGTGGCTTTAACATCAGTTTAACATCCCTTTAACATCAGTTCCAGTCATGTCAGTCATATTCTCATGCTGTGATGATATTTCTGTGAGTCAGACCTGCAGTACATATTTAATAACACACTAACACCTTCATTTGTTGGTTACAATTAATTATTAAAAGAAAACATTAAGTGGGGAGGACAGAAATAAACACATTATCCTCTTCCATTGACACTAAAGAGCAAGTATTTGCTGTCTAACATCATGACATCAGAATCAGGGCTCTGATTGTCAGGAAACAAACAAATTTTGTCCATTTAGCTCATGTTACTAAACACAAATAATCAGAATAGAGAGCCGTTTGAGTCGATTTGCCCTTTAGTGATTCTGGAACAACTGCTGCATACAAATACACCAGTATAACACATACAGTATAATACACCAGTATAACACATACACATACTGATGTTCAAGACAGGAGCTCATTACACAATACTTAGGCAAATACAATAAAAACATACTATTATTCGTTCCATTATAATGCAAAGGTGATAAAACGGAGATAGATGAAGGCTTACCCTTCTCCTTATCTGTCTGCAAAGGTGAGCAGCCAGTGAGTGAATCCTTCTCGTTTCACGATGCAGTGTCTCTCCATCCCTCCCTTTCTCTCTCTCTCTCTCTCTCGCTCTCTCTCTCTCTCTCTCACACAGACACACACCCCACAGGCCATTCATAATTTCACAGACAAACGTACACACCAGCCAGCCCAGTCATAAAAACACACTACTGATGAGTGTAATGAGGAGGATGAGACAGAGAGATGAAGGGTTGGAAACAACTGAACCCTAAAAGGTATACACAAAAGGTGACCACATTCTTGGCAATATTTAATGACAAAGTGGCCTTTTTCATTATTCAAATCAATGTGCCTGATTAAAATGTAAAAATAAGTCTCAGGATTATAAAAAATAGACATAAAAAATATATAAAATATATAAAAAGAAATATGTTCAATTGTTTGGTGAGTAATCAAGAGCAGTGAGTGACACTGATGCTGCTATTAAAGCAAATGGGAGGCAAAATGTTTGTATACCTTTCTAGGGATAAAGTCAAGCATTCAAGGATTAAATTTTTTTTTTAATTAATAATTAAATTAATAAATAAATAATATTTATATATATATACACATACAGTGGTTATAGAAAAGAATCACCCTCTTTAAAATAATCACATTTTGTTGCTTTGCAGCCTGAAATGAAGACGGGCACAGTTTTTGTTTTATCCAGCTTTATTTACTCAGTGAAACTTATAATATCCAAGTGAAAGCTATAGCACCAACATGTCAGAAAAATAAAATAAAAAAACAGAATCACTGATTTGGAAAAAGGATCAGACAAAAATTGAATTATTTGGCTTCAACACCAAACGATATGTCTGGCGGAAATCCAATTCAGCTCACTATCCAAATAACAGCATTCCTCCAGTAAAGCATGGAGGTGGCAGCTGTATTTACTCAGTGCAACTTATAACATCCAAGTGAAAGATATAACACCAACATGCCAGAAAAAAATTAAAAATCACTGAGTTGGAAAAAGGATCACCACCTTGTGTCAGTATTTTGTTGAACCACCTTTTGCTTTAATTACATACTTTAGTCTGTTGGGATTTGTCTCTACTAACTTTGCACATCTAGACTTTGCAATATTTGCCCGCTCTTCTCTGCAGAACTGCTCAAGTTCAGTTGAATTTGATGGTGAGCATTTGTGGACTGCAGTCTTCAAGTCATTCCACAGATTTTCAGTGGGGTTTAAGTCTGGGCTCTGACTAGGCCACGCAAGGACATTCACCTTTTTCTCCTTCAACCACTGTGTGCCCAGTATTGCTGTGTGCTTTGGGTCATTGTCATGTTGGAAGGTAAACCTTCTTCCCATTGACAACTTTCTGGCAGAGGGCAGCAGATTTTCCTCAATAATCTGATGGTATTTTGTCAGATTTGACAAGTGCTCCAGTCCCTGCTGCAGAGAAACACCCCATAACAGGATATGACCACCTCCATGCTTTACTTTAGGAATGCTGTTATTTGGATGCTGAGCTGTATTGGATTTCCGCCAGACATGTTTGGTGTTGAGGCCAAAAAATTCAATTTTAGTCTCATCTGCCTCAGGGAGGGTCTGTGTTGTACCAAATACCTTCCACTTCTTACTAATAGACTTCAATGTGCTTTTAGGCATTGATAAAGACTGATTTTTTTTGTATCCATCTCCTGACTTGTGCCTGTCCTGAACTTTATCCCAGAGATCTTTTGACAGTGCTTGCCACCCATAGTTGATTGTTTGCTTCAGTTGCACTACCAACGACTGAAATGCTCCAGGAAAGCTCTTTTCATGCTGAGTTAATCAAAATGACCACAGCTGTAAATCAAATGGCTTTGTGTGCCATTGAGAAAGTGATTAGCGGCACCTGATTGAGTTTACAAGTCATTTCTAGGAGAAGGGTGATCCTTTTTCCAACTCTGTGATTCTATTTTTTTGTTTTTTTTTCCTGACATTTTGGTGTTATATCTTTCACTCGGATGTTATAAGTTGCACTGAGCTAGGATAAAACAATAACTGTGTCCGTCTTCATTTCAGGCTGTAAAGCAACAAAATGTGATTATTTTAAAGAGGGGTGATTCTATTCTATACCCACAGTGTTAATATATATATATATATATATATATATATATATATATATATATATAAAACAAATAAAAGGGAGCACATTGTGGTAACCTTATTAATATCTATTTTTAATTAGCATACATCTATTTTTAATTTTTAATTTCCTTTAAGTTTTAATAATTTTGTCATGATTTTGTCAGTATTTTTTACTTCAGTTTTAGAAAATTTAGTACTTAAACATTTTAGATAAAGATTTCTAATTTAGTTCAACATTTCTAATTTTCAATCAACTTTCATCTGTTTATATTTTTAGTCATCAAAATATATTTTAATTATCTAAATTTATTTTTAATAGTTTTAATGACAACACAGTAGGCTAATGCTGCCCTGATCAACCGTTTTTGAGATACACAAAACAAATCTGAGACAATCACATCAGAGCGGAAGTGACACGTTCTACACACAATAGAGGGAGAAAAAACAGCAAAAAAGTCAACTTCATTGCTAAAGTTGAAATGACAGTACATGACATGAAAATTTAACAATCATTTACTCACCCTCACGCTGTTCTAAACCTGTATAACTTTCTTTTGTAGGAGAAAAGGAGACATTTTGAAGGTTCACACTGCTCTTTTCTCATTCCATGAAAGCATTAATGTCTTGAGAAGACCTGGAATACAGCATGGAAGCTTGTGTACTCGTGTTTTAGGTAATTGGACTCTCACAAGATGAAAAACTCGCAATTCTGAGAAGTCCAATCTATGAGATGTAAACTCACAATTGCGAGAAAAAGAGTCTGAACTGTGAGATAAAGTCACAATTACCTTTAGTTTTTATTCTGCAATTGCGAGATAAAAAGACAGAACTGCAAGTCAGAATTCTGAGCATATATCACACAATTTTGAGAATTGAGAAAAAAAGTCTTAATTGTGAGATAGAAAGTCGCAATTACTTTTTTTTTTAATCACGTGGCGATATAAAGTCAGAATTGTGAGATGTAAATTCTGAATTGTGTGATAGAATTGTGAGAGTCAGAATTTCAAGTTTATATCTCGCAATTAATTTCAAATAAATGTTGTCCAATATGCTTTCATTTGACAGAAAACAGCAGCACTAACCAAATAATACAAACAATTTAAATGAATGATCTGAAAAGAAAAGAAAAAATGGTTTTGGAACGACATTGAGTGGAAATTACATTTAATTTATGAAATTCAAAATAAATTATTTCCTTAAAAACTATGACCTTGCTTGTCTCACTTCATATCAGATTGTGTCACCACATGAAGCAAAGTGCATAAAATTACACACGCTACACAGTGCAATTTCCCACGCCAGCTCACACAAAACCTTTTTAAATCAGACATTAAAACTCACTGTGAACAAAAAAAAAAAAAATCTATATAAAGCCATACTAAAGTGTTCCCATACCAAATATGTTCTAATAAATAAGAGCACATTTGATATCTGATATGAAAATAAATACAAATGTTTTAGTAGGCAAATGTAGTTTGATTTTTTTTTGCAATTTCCCATAATTCTGCATTATTTGATGGGTGGCATTTCTAAGAGCCCTCCATGGCAGTGTCTGTAATATACAAAATATACACCTGGCTCAATCACTCGCAGGTTAAGAAATCTCAACTCACTCGATCATACATACACACACTTGCCGTAACTTTTATCAGAGTTTCTCTCCTCCAGTCTGCCATACAGCTAAATCTTGTTGATTTGAGTCTTAAGTTGCTTGAATAGTGCTTGAATGGTTCTCTGGTCAAAGGGCACAATCCTCTTCCTGTGTCTGGTCGCAGGAGGTCTGCTCTTCGTTCTCTGCTGGCAGCTGCAGGAACTGTGGTATTTCCAGCTGCTCTTTGGTGAGTAAACCACGCTGGTCATCCGCACGACTGCACTGGGCACGGGACAGCAGCTCAACAAGACCTGAGAGAAAACAGTCCAATGGATTGGATATGTCAGACAAATAGGGTCATATTCATAATAGAATTCAAGCTACAGCTTAGTGCATACTTTGTAGTACACTGACTAGTATGCAGTATGCCTTAATAATAATAATAATAATAAAACAAATTAAATAAAATGTAAAAATAAATACAAATAACTTCAAAATAAATGTAATAAAATATAAATATTATTATTATTATTATTATAAAGTAAAAATAAATAAAATAATAAATAATAAACAAACCGTAAAAAAATAAACAAATACTTACAAAAATACAAAAACAAAATGTAATATAAATTAGTAGTAGTAGTATAAATCATGGTTGATAATGCTTCTGGTAATTCAGTCCTCACAATGGATGGACAACTTGGGAGCACTGCATTGTGGGATACAGTATTCCATGTAAATGCACAGGTATTCATATTTCTTTCGAAAACACAAGGTAGTTTGCACAGGAGATCACACATAATGTGCATTTCCTGGCTTGACATTAGTGAAGGTTGCATAACTAGCATGTTAATATACACCATAACGTAAGACTTCTGCATTACCGTCCATGTCTTGGTGTTTTCTGGATCTGGGATTTGCTTTGGGTGTTGGTGAAGCAGCTTGAGTCTCCAAACCAACTAAAACACAGAGATGCACACCATTAAACAGTCTGATGAGTGAGGAAATGAGATCACTGCATAGAGAGAAGCTAGATCTCATGTCAGTTAACACCTCCCCCATAATCCTATTTTTAAGGTCTGGTGTAATGTGGTGGTCCCTCCAGCCCTCTCCGCTCCATCTGAAGAGCTACAGCAAGAAAATGAGCTTTAAAATGCTGCTTTAAAGCCTGCGATGACCCCTGAGGTGGAGGTTTCATTTGTGCTGGGCAAACATACTGTGACAGGAAATTACAATAAACCTAACACAAGTTGACACAAGAGAGACAGAAAGAGAAAATATCACAAGCGGTTTGCATAACTAAACTCAGAGACATTGATTTAAATCCAGCAGGAAGATACTAGAAGAAGTGGAAAATAAAATGTCAAAAATGCCAAATGTCAAAAATATATCTCTTTATGTATTTAACACGCTTTACAGTTTGTTTTTCCTTCACTATCTGGTCCAACTTATCTATTCATTTTTTTACTTCAATTATAGTTTTGCAGATAAATTCAAAATTAGGCACAATTTATATCAGTCTACAGAACAAATGCACTAATTTGAACCATTTGAGTCTAAACTTTTGCCTGATAATGAACATACACAAATATACATAAAATAAAATTAGAGATAAGTGTAATTATATAATCATTTAAATAAGTTAAAAAACATCATATAAATAATTTAATAAATTATATACATTATTTAAATAAGATGTTTTTATTTTAAAAAATATATACATTTATTTTAGTGCTGCCAACGTTAACGCGTTAACGCATGCGATTCATTTTACAATCCTTAACGCTTTAAAATAATTTAACGCAAAATTACTGAAGCACAATTTCTATTCTAACCCTTTAACCCAATTTTGCTTCTCTGCTTGCGATCAGATAATTTTAAGCTGCTAAACTTTAAGCTGCTAAAGTTTTCAGTCCAATGATCCAGTAAGCGAATGCATTCAAACAATCCATCCAAAACAGCGCTAATATAAAGGAAACCAGGCTGATTACATCAGAGATTGCAGAGAGAACAGAGAATTGCATTGCTTTTTCAGTGAATTATTCATTCCAGTGTGCGCTCTTTGCTGTTGCACTGTACACATACTATAAAATTCTAATTTTTTTTCTTTCATATGTGCTTATATGGGCTCCTTATATCATTTGGTTCTTTGGTGTCCTTTTGGAGTTTCTGAGTAAAAATGTATCTTGAAAAAAGCTTGCAAAAAATACAGATTTTTGAGAATCACCCTTCAATCTTTTGGTTTACTTTGCTGGATATAGCAAATGATGACAAAATAAACATTTGAAACAAGATAAATGGTCTATGCTTAATTTCATGTAGTGTGCGATTAATCGCGATTAATCACAGAAAAGGGTGTGATTAATTAGATTAAAAATTGTAATCGATTGACAGCCCTAATTTATTTCTATTTAAGTATAATTTTATTATTAAATATATGAAATGCATTTGTTTTGTAGATCAATATAAATTGTGCCTACTTTTGAATTTCTCTCCAAAGCTTAAAACGATTTATCAATTTAAACTGACAATTGATAATAACGCACCTTTAACTTTGTCCAAACGCACCGTTTTGCTGGCTAGACAAAACACATCTGTGCTCATGTTTAGAGGTTCATTTGAGCCACTCTGGAATAAGAAAGAGTTTCATTTCATATACTCCATATGTTCACAAAACTCTCACTGTTCACCATGTCTCACACCATTTTGACATGTGGGATAAAGCGTTTACGCACCAGAGTAACCTGCACATCCTGAGGTCGTAGTTGGTGTTTCTGTAGGACAGCAGAAAGCGCATCACCCAAATTCTTGCTAGACTTTGCGATAATTCCTAACGTTCTTCCTGAAAACACAATATCCAACCTGCACACAAACAAACCTGTCAACATATCAGAGCACCAGGGCTGTTATAGGTAACTAAAACTAGAACCATAAAATTTTTTTAAAATTGTTACTAGAAATAAAATAAACGTTTACAGAAACAACCACTGGGTATTGTTATTAGCTGATGCTATTATCATCAAAACAGCCAAATATTAGCCAATATATTGGCCTAGATAACAGGTTGGTGTATCCCTAATAATGTTAACGAGGTATTACTGTATTTTAGTGATTTAATGTTTATTTTAAACTATTGTGTTTATGAGATCTTCTATGATCTGTGTGCGTACAGTATGTGTGACTCACGCAAATCTAACTTTGAGCTCCAAAGTGAGCTGCTGATCTCCAAAAACAGAGCTGTCCTGATCCAGAGAAAGAGGCTATTGAGAAGCAAACACATTATTCATTATCCACACAAATACGATGGTAAAAAAAACCTAGCTCATGAATATGGTGCATTAAAAAGCTCAGAAGACAAATATACTGTAATATAATATAATAATGAATCTTATTAGGTCTCCAATTCAGCCAAAAAGGGTTGTACCTTTACGTGAGGAAATATTTCAGCTGTGGCCATTTGCCAAAAATAAATAAATAAATATTGAAAACAACAGCATGTTATTACAGTTAATTAATACCAAAACAATAAAACTATTTAAATAAAATAAACTTTAACTGATAAAATATTTAAAAGAACAAAAAAGACTTACTAATGTAAAACTTACTTTTATTTAGTTTACCTTGGCTAACTAATAACTAAAACTGAAATAAAAATGGCATAGATATATAAAAAAAAAATGTTATGATACTAAATTAGCCCTTCTGTAAGTATTCAGAAACTTCAGTGTTGCAACTCATTTCACATGCAAAGCAGTTAACCAATCACAGCATGGCTCATTTACATAATGAAGTCTTAAACAGGATGTTTTTGCTACTTCAGAGTCAGAAAGAGGGCAGATCTTGCAAAAAATGTAATTGACCGTTTTTACAGCAATGGAGTAAAAAGAAATAAATATAGTATATAATAGACATAATAGAGAAAGTATGTGAAAATGCTTTGCACTATTATTGAACTTAAACTAAAACACTGAATTGACTAAATAATGAAACACTGAATAATGACACTACTGTCATTTAATAGCTGCTTTAAAGCTGAAATTGTATTTTTTCATAACTGAAAACTAAGTGAAGCTGCTTTCAAACAATCTGCATTGTATAAATCACTATTTAAATAAATGTGACTTGACAATGCTTGCCATTTTTAAAGATCTTGAGTCATAATGCTGAAACCACTGGTCAGATAAATGTGTGAAGGCAGATAGGTTGCCCTCATTTAGGCTGCCAGACTGACCTTATCTTTGCCGAGTAGGTAGATGATAACATCTTTCAGAGGAAAGCCTCTCTTCTCACACAGGCTGCTCAGCATGTCTCTGAGACTCAGGCCGGGTCTGGCAGGGGCCAGGCTGGCGGTCCCGTCCGGCAGGTAGACGCAGCAGTACTTATCTGCTGTAGGAGAACCAGAACTCAAGGCTTCTGGATCAGAGATGGCCACATTGCAGCGTCCGTTCTGACAAAGACACGAGCGCTTCACTGAGGAGCAAAAACTATTCAAATGTAACACTTTCAATTTTTCATTCTAACATTTTTCTGCAACTGCTTAAATGAAATCAAACAATAGTTTTGAGACTTTTAGTTAAAGTCTATTATCTTCTTGTTCACAGGGACATGCACAAGCTTTAGTCCACAAAAACAATGACTCCACTCTTAGCTATTATGCCACATGCAGTTGGAAGCAGCTTCTAGAAGAGATCAGATGTCACCAATTTAGCACATTTTTAGCCAATATTTATTAACTATATTATTTACATACTAAATTGTAATTGTATGCTAAACTGTACTTTTTCCCCACAAGGGCAGCTAACAAAAGCAAGTAGTAAATCATGCTTTTGCTTGGCTGAGATGGCTATTGGCTATTTAAAAGAGGACTAGCCCTTTGATATTTTCCAGCAATACATGTCATTGTAATACTCAATACAGTGCTATATTTTTGCAGTCTTGCACACACTTGCACTCCCTTCATGAAATGCAACATCTTGTTCATGCAGGAATATTTGGTTGGATGTAGGTACCTCAGCTCGCCCGAATCCAGAGACTAACTCCAGACTGCTGTTAGACTTCACTGAGATCTGAGACTCTTTACGCGAAACCGCCACATGCTGATACGACTGGTCAGCTGAGAAACATAAATGCTGTTAGCGTAATTATGAACAGTTCATGTTCAAAGGCACACAGAAGAAAACCATGCAAACAGAAAAAAAGACATTAAAGGGGTCATCAAACGGTTATTGATATTTAAACATATGAGATGTTACACTGACTGCAATAAAAACATACTGCAAGTTTCAGAACTCAAAACTAACTCACTAGTTTAAAATATGAATTGTTTTCTACCCTTCAGAAACACCTGGATTTGAAATTGGGAGAATCGTGATGTCACAATGTCCCCTGGAAGATCTTTTGGGTGAAAAAACAAACTTAAAAAAAACTTTACTATAAAAATCTGAAACTGCATTTCACAAGCATCATGAGCTGCGATCGGTATAATATGTAAGGGCTCATGTACAGACATTCTTTATTTTATGCATAGTGAATCAAGCCAGCGACTAAATTATTAACTTCACATTGTTCTTCATAGTAGCATGAAAACCATCTGTTGTCTATATTGTGATCATTTCATATACAGTAAGCAATCAAAGATCGTTCTCTTTATAATCGCTGGAGCAGCGCGAGTCTCAGTGATTTGTTTTTTGTGCAGTTTCACCAAAACTCTCAGTTTAAACTGACAGTTTACACTGCTCAATGAGTCTCTTATTTACATTGTGTTTTTATCATGTTGGTTATGCTGAAAGTATCTGTGAGATTGCAGTAATTAGATCATTGTGATTATTGTGTGCTCAGTAGACATGACTGTTCAGCTGCAGTGCAGCGCTGCCACATTTGATGCAGCGCGAGTAGATCTACTGTAAATGTAATGCTATAATCAACACCTTTCACAGTTAGTTAATCTTGACAGCTGTTAAAGTAAAAACTCCGAAAGTTTGAGAGAGTTCCACATGTAATGCTCATTTTTTATGCAAAGATGTTAGCCAATCACAGCAGTGGCCATTGACATTGAAGTCTAATAGCAGAAACGCCCCTTCCAACAGAGCGTTCAAATCAGAGGGATAAAATGTCCATTTATGACTGTTTTTGATGGAAAAAAAACCTCCTGAGTGCACCTCAGGAAACAAAATATATTTTTTTTAAATGCATTTCATGAGCCCTTTAAAAGAGAAGTGTGCATGTTCGTGAGAGCGACTCTTTTTGAGACGGTGGCATGCACTGCAGAGTCGTCCACAAAGATACCGCACAGATAGAGAAGTGCTGAGTCAAATTGTACCTCCCCATGAGCCTGTCTTCTCTAACCTCTTCTTCCTGTTGGTCTTGCTGTCTGATGAGGGCACTTTCAACTCAACACTCTGTTACAAAACACAGAGTAATACACATATAAGAACTTTTTTTTTTCACTCACTGACACGGCATCATATTCCACGGTGGAGTGACAAAACTTTCTCACCGAATTAGGCCATTTTAAACAGCTCACACCTGCACTATATGCAAGGCAGATTCATTTCAGGATCCATATTAACAGCATTCACACTTCACATGCAAGTAGTGTCAGACTAATTATGAGTATTTTTACTGCACACTAAACTCAACAGAAGATATACTGAAAAAGCACTACAGATATTTTGCAATATAGACATTATGAAGCAACAAACCAGAGGAGCAAAAAAAAAAAAAGGCATTGTTCGAAAAAAAACAAAACAAAGACATCTGTCAGCCCTGATGCAAACACTTTCTATTCAGCACAATCTGAATCAAGTCCAATTAAGCATTTTATAGCTCAAGTTTGGGGTTTAGTCTGTTCGATGTATTAGGTTAGTTACCATATAGATGCATATGTGATTAACTCCTCATGCAAACTAGATTTCATGATGGTAAGTTTGTACTAGTCTCAATAGCTCATTTTAATTGAGTATTTCCAACCAATGTAATAACATCAAGCACCGCACATTTTTGTGATTCAAGTTAAGTACTGTTTTGTTTTTGTTTTGTTTTGTTTTTGTTTTGTTTGTTTGTTTTGTCTGGCAAGATACAGGCTGTACCAATCAGAAATGTGTAGCGTTGCCACAAAAATATTAAGCAGCACAACAGTTTTCAATTCTTGAGCAGCAAATCAGCATATTAGAATGATCTCTGAAGGATCATGATTCATGTGACACTAAAGACTGGAGTAATGATGCTGAAAATTCAGCTTTGCATCACAGCAATAAATTACATTTTATAATATATTCACACAGACAACAGTTATTTTAAATGTATACTTGTGAACGGTAGTGTAGAAATCCATTTTAAGAGCTGAACTGTATATTTCACAGAATTATGTCTGAAATAATTAGTAGTTACTACATTTGAACAGACTGAACTGGTGTATAACCGTGACCTTGTTTCAATTTTTATGGTCACTTTGCATGTTGACTTACTGTCAGCTCTTGGTCAGAGCCTTTTGCCTTTAGTCAACAGTCTGACTCCATATGGGATAGGCCTTGTGAGGATATGGTTTGTGTCACAGGAATGACTTTGAAATATATTTAAAAACTGAACGATCCCTAACTTTAGGTAATTTCTCAAGTAACTCCTGAATGGATTTTAAATGTGTTACCTTTCTGTTACTAGGTGGCGTTGCACTCTTTTTGTACATTTTGCTTTTGGGCTCCGGGGTTCCAATGTTGGGAAGAGGACGACCCTCCACACAAGCCAGCATGCAGTTCTGGTACAGCGAAGAGCGGACAAACCTCGTGTAGCTGTCCATTTTCATCAGCTTGAAGATCTATGGCAGGGGAAACAATTAAATCACAGTTACAGTAAATAATTTGAGATTTTTGAGTATTTGTAGTCAGAACATAAGTGAAGCATTTGCAATGCCAAACTTTATGCAATGCCTGGTCTCTAAATATACAATCCCTTTTTCTCATTAAATTTACAGCAAAAAAAAAAAAACTTTCCATGATGAGTAATTTTATATGACAGTATTGGCATGTGATTTGTGTCATACCACCCACCCCTAGCGCGTACCTGTGCCTGTGCTTTATCGAACATGTTGGGTGTAGGTGTCTCCAAGGCGCTCTCTTCCATCTGGGCCGTATCGTCAATATTAACTGCATGCAGAGAGCTTTCAGAAAGAAAACTGTCGTAGATGGAACGTGCCTCTTTCTTCAGCTGATGGGAGATATGCGATAGTTTTAGGGTGATATTTGTCTGTGATTTCTAGTTATGACTGAAGATTCAGATCGTACGGAGAAAAATCAAAGTGCAGCTGCAGATGACAAACACTCAAACTCAAATCAATGTGCAAAAATGGCACGTCTAGTGGATATAACGCTGGGATGTTGTTGTGGTAACCTAAAAAGGGTTTTAAGCAGGGCTACTAAGACAGCAAAAAGAAATGCTCAGCTCAGATTCAAACCATTAAATGAGGCACAAGGATCTGTTTTACACTGCAAGTAAGTGATGTTGCGCCACATACTAGTTTTGTTACATAGCATCAATTGCTTACAATGTTGATGGAGTGTTATGGAGATAGTCTGCTACTGTGCCCTTGAGAAAGGCATTAGTTTCAAGAAGACTGTCCTGCCTTATTAGTAGTGTACCATAAGTCACTTAAATAAAATGAAATAAAAGTGTCTGCATGAAACGCTGAAATGCAATTAAGACCATGTGAATTCTACATGACTGCATATTCGTAAAAAAAATAAATAAAAAATTCCAGTTACTGAACAATCAGTTAAAAAAATTTATTTATACAAATTTCTTACTCGTTTTAAGTCATAATGTATCTTCAAAAATCAAAAAATGTAATTTAAATGGGATGTTAAGTTTAAATGGGTCTAAATAAGATTCCTATTTATAAAATGGGATTTATAAATTAGATTTTCAATTCCATTAAACATTTTCAACATTACATGTACTTGATATTAGTGGCATCCAAACATGTAGAGCGTCATGACCAAAGAGACGCTGTACTTGAATTAATTGGGCCTTCCTGCCCTCAATATGATTCAGTGGAGGCTATTTTTAGTGGTTGCAAGGCAATCAGAATTACTCCAAGAGGTTGTGACCCACCTTGGGATTTGTTAGTTTTCACTGTGTTCCCAAATGACTGGCAGAGATCTGTGTGTCGAGGTGGAAAATGATCTATGCACTTCAAGTGCAATATCATTACGTCTCTGACACCCTTATAATTATCAGTCAATTTTTGGCTGAAACAAAATCCTGTTATGAATTTTCCATTTTAAAAAAAAAAAAAAAAAAAAATCACATACCTCTTCCAGTCTGGTAGGTGGGATTTTCTTGAACTTTTCACAGGCTTGGTAGAACAGGATATTCTCTGCACTAACCTCTGATTTGAGAAACTCCTGTGAGATGCGTTTGCAGTCAGACCAAAAGAAAGAGAAAAACCAAAAAAACTTCAATGATTCACACATGTAATTCACAGAAGCTCTAGGTGTAAATTGTGTTTATACAAATGAATGCTTCCTTTTTTCATGACCAGTAACATTTGTAATTAACTTGCTACATGCTGACACATAAAACTAGTTTTAATAACCTGAAATCCTTATCAACTGCTTGGACGCGAGTAAAATAAATCATAATCAATCTGATAGGCTGGAAGAGGTGTTAGTGAGGCCAGCAGGGGGTGCTCACCCTGTGGTCTGTGTGGGTCCTAACGCCCCAGTATAGTGACGGGGACACTATACTGTCAACAAGCACCGTCCTTCGGATGAGACGTTAAACCGAGGTCCTGACTCTCTGTGGTCATTAAAAATCCCAGGATGTCTTTCAAAAAGAGTAGAGGTGTGACCTCGGCATCCTGGCCAAATTTGCCCATTGGCCTCTGATCATCATGGCCTCCTAACAATCCCCATATCTACTGATTGGCTTCATCACTCTGTCTCCTCTCCACCAATAAGCTGGTGTGTGGTGGGCGTTCTGGCGCACTATGGCTGCCGTCGCATCATCCAGGTGGATGCTGCACACTGGTGGTGGATGAGGAGATACCCCCTGACAATGTAAAGCGCTTTGAGTATTTAGAAAAGCGCTATATAAATGTAATGAATTATTTTTATTTTATTATTATAATTTATTATGCTGATGTATAATGCCACAGTCAACAACACAAAAAAAAGAACACAAACTGTTTCATTTTATATTAGAAGCGAAAGCCTTATCTCTTGAAAAGTAATAGCGTTCATATCATTTGCACAATCAAGAGGTTTGTTTAACTCACAATCCCTAACAATAATATAAATCTTGTATATATGGTGTGGTATATCTCTGAATGCTTGCTCATGGAAACTATATATTATAAGCGGGAATATGGAGCTCACACTTGAAGAAAAAACACCTCAATTTTATTCAAGGCCCAAACTTAGCAAAAATATGCAATTTGGTGCAGATGCTGATAATTATATGATCAAAAAGTGAAGAAATTCTGAAGCTTGTAATGTAAATCAATGAGATCTTTAAAACTATGTAAAAGATATTTACATAAAACGATATAAATAACAGTGGTCACTCTATATCTCCAATAATATGTCTTATTAAGATGACATTTATATACTTAGTTTGATGATCAAAACATATAATGCAATGCCATACAATGATGATTGAGAGATGAACAAATAAACATTCCTCAAAATCCTGATGATCATATTTGAGACTCACTGATTTTTCTAAATAATCAAGTAATATTAATAACAAAAAGTAATATATATCAATTAAATATTACTAACAATATAAAAGTTATTCTTACGTTTACGTCGTAAAAATCAGTAAAATTTCACAGCATAAAAGACACGTCAACCACAAGCTGAAGGTGGACGTTTGCACAATTATACTAAAATACCTTTTATTTGCATGTAGTAGATTGTGTACAACAGGTTTTTCAGCATTTAGAGTCCTTAGAAATATGCATACTAGATATCTTAGAGTAAGCTTTACAGGGTTAAAGCAGTCAGAGATAGCGATGAGGAGCATTAAAACTTACGGTAAAGTATCGCACGCCGACATGGTCTTCAAGCAGGCGTTCGAAACATACCGCCCAGCTGACCACCCGACTGGCTGGACCATCAGCACCTTGAGGACCACCTGACCTGCTCAAGCTCTCTGATAGGCTGGAGCTGCTGCCATGACTGGATAACTTGAAGTTGAGCTCTGTATGGAAATGACAGTTAGAGATGAGTAAGATGCTCACAAAAAAGTCGTTTGAGTGATTGACATGATGCACTGGATGACCCACTTGTGGTAGGATCACAAGACTTACGAGAGTGAATTCTTTTTAAAGAATTAACACTTACCCCCATCAGAAACCGCCTGGGTCTGCAAGAGCAAACAAACACAATCAGTCTTGCATGAAATCAATGAAGGCCTGTAGTATCATAGTCATGCATCACAGGAAATCATATTTTAACAGCTGCATGTTTTTTTCTGAGCTGTACATTCACACAGGAAATGGGTGTTTGACGTTAAAAAAATTCACTAGGAGACATGACACGACAGCATGTCACATTAGAAAGGTTGGCTTTCAGCTGACCCACTGGGCAAACACACATCTGTGTGATTGAATGTCTCATTGCCATGGAAACAATGTGGAAACCTGATTGCGAAATGCTGATTTTCTCAGCGGCTCTTCATGCAGTCGCTTTTCTTCTTAAACACACAATTTGGCAAGCCATCTAAATAAAGACACACCATGGATATTTCTTTTATACAAGATAATTATAATATCTACAAACTATAACTTTGCATTTTTTTTAATTAAAAAAAAAGGGATTTCTGTAAGACTTACCGCACTTCTAGGGAGAATTTTTCACCAAACTATAGCTAAATGCACATAAATTTACATGGCTATCTAAAGGAGCATAATTTTATATAAAGCTAATTATTACACTACAGACTTAAAGGACTTTTTCACTGGAGGTTCACTGGTTTAAAGTTAAAAACGTCTTGATGGATTTGTTTCTTGCAAACGCGCAGCTTTTCATTTGACAAGATGTTAATTGATAGACTGGAGTTGTGTGGATTACTTGTGTTTTATTGTGATGTTTTATCAGCTGTTTGGACTCTCATTCTGACGGCACCCATTCACTGCAGAGGATCCACTGATGAACAAGTGATGTAATGCGACATTTCTCCAAATCTGTTTCCATGAAGAAACAAACTCATCTACATCCTGGATGGCCTGAGGGTGAGTACATTTACAGCACACTTTAATGTTCGGGTGAACTATTCCTTTTACCTAAAAGAAAACTGTTGAATTTTTAGTATTATGTTTACTTGTGTGCATTAGGCAGACACTTGTCCTAAGCAATTTACATTGCATTCAAGCTATGCATCTTATCAGTTCACGCATTCCCCTGGAACTGAACCAATGACCTAATTCCAATTATGAATCATCTTTGCCTCTGAAGACATCCCCAGACTTCTCCAGAGCTGCTTTATCAGATTCAGCAGAACTTCTGGGGACAACTTTGTCCTCAAACACACACAGACCAAATTGCAAATGCAAAGTCCCCTCTGACTGATTGTGGATGGAAAAATGGCCCAAGACTAGTTAAACAAGCCAACCAGAAGACAACACATGTAATCAATCAACAGCAACATATTAGAGACTCCTCAAAGCACACTTATCTCATTGTGTCAGAATCGAATTTTCTCACGGCTGCAATGCTCAACTAAACACCACAAACCAGAATTCACCTTTTGGACTGCAAATATCCATTCATCAAATCTTGTGTTAATTGACAAAATGGTCATTTTGATGTAAAGCTAAACAGAAGATTAAACGCATGAGCATGACCCTACAATAAAACAACTCTTAACATATGCACACTGCCACACACCCATCAAACTGAACCAATCAGTGAAGCTGCATCTCTGAGCTGGAGAAAAACCATCAGTAGGCCTGAACCAGACTTACCATCTGACCTGCTGGCACTGCCAGATTGTTCATTTTCTTGGACATGGCCACATCAGGGTAGGGTCGACTGTGCCCACACCAAGGACGTCTATCTAAACTGTTTCCCTCAACAGCTACGCTGCTACACTTCTTACAGCTCTGTCATTTCCTGTTTCAAAGGGAAGTCTTACCATAGCAACACACCACAAGAGGAACTGTGGTTACTCTGACTAAACCCTTTTTTTGAATGTAAGCAACCCTTTGTGTGGTATGAGAACTACGCTATGGCCCACTCACCCCTGCGCTTATCCACTTAAATGAAACTTAAATGAACGAATGAGAGAATCAAGTAGGCTAACCAAACACGGTGGATTACCTCAACCCGTTAGGAGCCACAAATGTACTTAAACGGCCAGTAAAACCACCAGTTTCTTAGTTACTAAAGCATAATATGAAAACCAGCATAACAGGCCTGAAAACTTGCACAATGAAATGTCCACGTCCTTTTGTGTCGACAGAAATTTAGCAATATTTTTCACAGCATTTGTCATACTGTGATGTCACACATGTGCAGTTAATCAGAGCAGACAGATTACTGTGGAAAATAATAATAAATTAATAAACTACAAACATGATATTATGATTACTGTCAGGTCAGAGGAAGTTGTCAGAATATTATGGTTTGAACTAACAATTTTGCTTAGCTTATGTAACAGATTATCTGTTAATAAGAAACAAAATGCAAAAACCATTTGAGAAATTTGGGGCTAAAATAATACATGGACAATCATTTAAAAAAAACAAACATAAAAGTGTAAAAATATATTAAGCGTGTGTGTGTGTGTGTGTGTGTGTATATTACACCATACTTGGTGTAAAAGATTTAATTGGATAAACAAGTTTAATTGGGTAAATCTTCTATACATATTTTAAATTTTTCTGACATACTCCAATTCTTTTAAAAACGCTGTAGACATGCTTATTCTGTGCATTTTTAGTGCTTTTTGAGTGAATTCATATTTATTTAGTCCAACAAAAGTGTGCTGTCACTTTAATGAGGTTCTTTGACCTGACCGGTTGCTGAGTCAGAATAAATGTAATTTAATTTTATTTATTTATTTTTACAAGATCTTTATATGGGCATATTTTTACAGTGCTTGCTAAAAACTCTTTGTTTTTAAAAGCATTTTTTTTATTTAGTTGCTCAGATCATGGTATTACATTTCTAAAATTTGATACTGTGTTTATTTACAGTCAAGCTTGGTAACATTTCCTCTATGAGGTGCCATTTTGTACTTAACGGTATATTGTGGTGATTAAAATGTGTTTTTTGGCCTGCTCGGTTGATTTACATGAGCTGTACACAGCAGTGTGCTTTAAACAGAAAAACAAACCAACAAACAGAAATTATTTATTGCAGTTCATAACATGGCAATGTTTAATGTTTTTAGGGTGTATAGGGCATTTTATGGTTTATGTATGCCATTTGATGGCAGTCTTTTTTGTATCAGGTTTGTTATTTCTTTATACAGTTGTAAAAGTTAAAAAAGTTTAAGTATACAAGAGGTTTTATGTATATTATTTTATGTATATTATGTTGATACTGAATACAAATGCCTAGCATAACTTTTTTAATTATGATATAATACTTTCTAGATTAGTACACAACACAACTTCTATTCTATGGAGTAAATAAAGATATAGAAATGAAATTATATCTTTAATTTTATTACAAATGGTTTTTACATGTCAAATGAAACGCGGATATACAAACAGTTTCTGTCATATATTCAACAGCTCTAGAATCCTGCGTGCATTACAGTAAGCAAAACAGTCAGAGGCCTGAGGCGATTTGCATGATTATCTGTGTGTAAATATGTGTCCAACAGAGCTCTCCGGTCAGAGACACTAACTCCTGACACATCTGAAACATACAACCTTAAAATATCAGGTAAAAGCCTTTCTAAATATACTTTATTTGCATTTGAGTTATTTTTCTATTAAAGAGAGAATGTGTGTGTCATTTAGGATTCTGTTTTAATACCATTTATAATAAAATTAAACATGAACACAGCGACCTTTACTTCATAGAAGTTCCTGTATTGTAGAAATGATTCTTTGTTGTAAATTAAATTTAAATATAATTTATATAAAGATTATTTGAGTATGTTTTACAAGAAAATACTATATACTAATATACTGAATACTATTGTATACTAAATACTAATAATACTAAAATTTCACTTTTAATTCAATGTTACTTGCTGTTTCTTTGTAACTGATTGTGGAATTTATAATTCCTGAGTGAAAATTGTTAATTTGTTAAAATAAATCCTACACTATTTATTTATTTATTTATATGTTATTAGTTTCTTAAAAATGGGGAAAATATGTTATAATTTAAGTGAGAAAAAACTAAGAGCAGATGTCAAATAACATAAAACTCCCATGTATGTGTCTTGATTTTGAATTTTTGAATCATCTTCGTCTCATTTCAGGACAAGCGATCATGAGAGTGTTTAGCAGAACTCTGCTCATCACTGTCTGTCTTCATCTCTGTGAGTATTTCAATATGCTCTGCTCTGGTCAAGCTAAGACACTTCAGCTTTATTAATTATAGCTTTAACATACAGTACTTTACACAATGACAAGATGACAGAATGGTTTCCATCGTGTCTGATAAAATGAAACCTAACCTGAAGTTTGCTATTGCTCAGTGAGTGAGAGGCATTTATTTTCTGTTTTCATTTTCATTTTAGTGAAAGTTTTATTCATTTTGTTGTTTTTTGTCATTTTATTCGTTTTTTATATTTTTACAAAATATGTCAATATATTTTTTATTAATTTTAGTTTTTGTTTATTTAGTTTTAGTTATTTTAATACTTCAGCTTAAACTGAAAAATGAGTAGTGCCTTGTTTTTTTTTTCAGGTTTTTTAATATTTTATTTTATTTCAGTTAAAGGTCCCCTGAAATGCTTAGAAACAGTTGACGTAATTTTAACTGAAACAGAAAGACAGGGTGGGACATATCAAGCAGCCCCGCCCCTTTTAGCTGAAGTACGATGTAACGTTGAGCCGTTTTGGCGGAAGTGACGAACTGCAAGCTTTGAATGCTTATATCTTCTAAACGCGAATTTTGTCACTGTTTTGGAGCACACTGCCTTATAGATAACCTTAAAACTAACGTATTGATACTAACACTCAAAAAATTTTAATTTTGATTTCATGGGTACTTTAAGTTTTTTTTTTCCAAGTAATAAATATGCTTTTAATGGTTTTAGTTTCCGTTTTAGTTAACAACAATGACAATGGTGAGGGAGTTAGCTTACATGCGGATGGCCATTTTTAAAGTTAATCTTTATATTTTTTAACCATGTTTTGAACCATGAACTTTATGAAATAACTACAATACGAACTAACTGACTAACTGTAATTCACAACAATCACAGAAATCACTAATACATACTGATGCTTGTGCCATAATTTTCCCACCAAAATAATATCAGAAATGAAAGTGTCTCAGGATAATCAGGATATTGTCAGTAAGAAACTGTAATTTTTTTTATTTTACGATAAAATACAATTAAGAAGAGATAATCAAGAAACATTGGAAATAAATGATCAGTTCTTCAGGTTATGAAAGTTCACCCCTATTACCAACTGTCATATGATAAAAGAAAACAAACATGATTTTCATTTTTAAATTTTGTGAGGTTAATTCTTTATCCAATATCTTTTATCGTCTTTTTCTCTCTCGGTAGGTGAAGGCATTGGACAACCTAAAGCATGTCAACAGTCTAAATGTTTGGACTGTGATGGACCTATAGGTAGAAATACAGCAGAGAACCTGCACAATGTATTTTGCATTTCACAATTATCACTTTTTCTCGCAATTCTGAGATGTAAACACAGAATTCTGAAAAAAATTATTGCAAGATATAAACTTAGAATTGCATGAGAAAAAGGTCAGAATTGCGAGATATAAATTCTGAATTTTTTTATACATATCTCGCAAATCTGACATTTTTTCTTAAAATTCTTAGTTTACATCTCACATTTCTGTTTTTTGTTAAAAATGAAAAAGCTCATTTACTTTTTTAATTGACAATGCTGTCTTTTTTTTCACAATTGAATGTTTATATTTTTTTTTTTACCACATAATTCAGACTTTTTTCTCATAGTTCTGACTTTATATCTCACAAGTCTGAATTGTGAGATAAAAAAAGTTGCAATTACCTTTTGTATGTTTTTATCCTGTAACAGAAACAAGCTTCCATACTAATCAGAAATTTTGGAAAATATAAAAATACAAAAGAAATCATCAGAAAAAATAATTCCGTTTATGAGAATGCATTAAATCCGTTCCCATTCTCCTTTCCCCAGATGTTCTGCAAAACTGCACAATAAAAGGTACACCTACTGTGCATTAATGCCTGAAACACTGATCAAATCAGTGCTGTTAGAGATTAACCCTCATTAAGAAAATTACTTCATCTGTCAGATATAATTTGTAAAAGGATGAAATGGTGACCTTTGATCTTTTGCTCTCCTTCCCAGATTTTAATGTGACCATGTGCCCCTCTTCCACCTCAGTTGAAAAGGGTATGCCCGTGACTGTGACCTGCACTCATAATGTTCCCAACGGCTCCATCAGCTGGCTAAAGGACGATGTGTTACAGCAAGAAGAAAATAATAAAAAAACATTTCATATCAAGCACATTCAAAAAACCTCAGTCATCAGCTGCAACGTTAGTAGTATGTGTGGGAGCTTCAACTCTACTATAACAATTAACGTAAAAGGTGATTGTACTGCTCATTATTTCTGACTGGGCAATTAGATAGATAGATATAGATAGATAGATAGATAGATAGATAGATAGACAATATTTCTAACATCACACTTGTTTTTATTCTGCTGTCAGATGGTGATATTATGGTGACTTTACTGATTTGTGTCGGAGCAGCAGCTGCTCTCCTCATGCTGTTTGCAGTAGTCATGAAGATCAAGCTCAAGAGAGGACAAGGTACATTTATAACCTTCTGCAATTAAACAGACGCATGTCGTCCTACTGTATTTCATACCATCTCCCTGTTTCTCTCTCTCTCTCTCTCTCTCTCACTCAGCTCAGAGTCAGGCCAGGAAGAGACAAAGACAGCAGAACCTGCAGAACATCCACAGCACTGTGAACACTGTCAGCAGCTACTACTGAAAGAGAGCGTTTCTACCGCTGAAGCTCCTGATTCAGAGCCGTTTCAGTTCTACACTCAAAAAACATTTAGACCTCAATTTAAGATTTATGTTTTTGACTTGCATATCAAATTTCCATCCATTTAGATTACAGTTTTAACATAAACTAATAATTTAATTTTTAACATGAACTTTTTATGCAGTTCAAATAATTTTTGTTTACATCTTTTTTTTTACTTCCTTTAGTCATGTCTGTTTGATAAATGGTTTGGTGTGAAGTTGACTCGCTGGATAGAGGGCTATAGAAAGGAATGGCTTGTTTTTTTTTTAAGTTTAAGTTTTTTCAAGTTTAACTTAAGTAATCCTAAAAACACATGCAGAAATGAACAATGTGAGATATAGCAGTCCTCCACAGTAAGCAGTGAAAATAGCAAATGAAGGAAGATTCATTTTAGCACCGTTTTGGGTGCAAACACTTTACAATAAGGTTCCAATTGTTAACATGAGTTAACTGCATTAGTAGTAGTAAAAATACTTCTAAAGCATTTATTAATCTTAGATAATGTTGATTCCAACATTTACTAATACATTATTAACATTAACAAAAGTTGTATCTATTAATGTTATTGAATGGACCTGATCTAACAATGAACAGTTGTATTTTTATTAACTAATGTTAATAAAGAGTTAACAAAGAGTAATAAATACTGTAACAATATTTAACTGTAACTGCTCATTGTTAGTTAATGCACTAATATAGTTAACAAATGGAACCTTATTGTTAAGTGTTACCCTGTTGTACCCTCTTGCGTTGCACAACTCATTTTTATCTAGGTACATGTAATTAGTTTTTCTTCTAACTTATTTTGATTTAGATTTTGTTTTATTTTATTATGCGCTGTTCTATGCAGTTCTGTAGTATAAATAGTGTGATTAGTGTGTTCACACAGAAAATTCCTCAAAGAAAAAGTGCACTTCAAATGCATGGATGATGTACTCAATTTACCGAAAAATGTCACTGTGTCATGATTTTGTTGGGTTCATGTCGTCTGTGACCTAGTTTCTCCTCATATGTCTTGATTTGATTTGTTTCACCTGCGCTTCATCAATTAAGCCCTTACCTGCTGTGTATTTAATCTGCCCTCTTGTCTCTGTCTGATGTCTGGCCTCGTCAGTTTGTGTTAGCATGTATGTGTAGATTTTGCCCTGTTATTTGGATAATTAAAAGCTAATTTAACTCTTCTTTGTCGTTTTCTCTGCCTTTTGGATAATTACACACACCGCAGTGTGACAGAAGACCGAACCTAAACTGAAGTATAGCAGTGTTTTTTGTTGAATTTTGTTTTTCTGTGCCTTATGGACAATCCTGCCATTCTTCTCCTTCTGGAGCAGGGGGAACACTCCCTTGAGGACCATACATGGGACTTTTTGGACCTCGCTTACCACTCTCATTACCCGGATGACTGCCTTATCACATTTGATCACATGAGACTTAACGGCGCCATGAAAGATAGATTGTCCGGGGAAGGTCCTCAGGGGAGCTTTGCCGCTTTGGGTGCCAGTGAGCAATGATTCACCACTCACCGCCTTCAATGACGAAGAGGGTCTCACGGGTCCCACTCCCAAACCAGAGCCCAGCCAGCCTTCCACCAGCAAGACAGAGCCATCGTTTGAGCCCACTGCAGATGCGGAGCCTGAGCCCACCGCGACCAAAGCGCTAACGACTAGATTATCACCCGGGAGCCTGAGCCCAATAAGGAGTGTGACTCGTCCCAATGGGGATTCTCGTGGAGTACGAGGGCATGGAGGAAAGCCCCGCCCACATCCTTGCCACTAAGGGGGTAAGCTGCAGCTGGCCTCTGTAGATTTACTTTTATTTTAGACCCTTTATTTCCTTCATCTCCACCTAGACCTGTCAGTCTGTTATCTTTGTAGGTTCTAACCAGCCCTGAATTGTTTTCAGGGGCTGGCTGAGCCCTTCAAAAGTCCTGAGTTTTCGCTCGTTTCTCTGTCATGAATCTATTGAATCTTTGCTGGTTCCGTTCAGCCCTGACCCTACTGAATCTCTAAAGCTCCCACCCATCCTCCCTAACCCACCTCCGCCTTCTAGCTCTGTCTTTCTTTCAATCCCTCACCCATTCTTTCTATCCATCACTTCACTCTCTGCCATCTGCAGCTTATGCCATTCCAGTTTAGGGATTGCTGTTCTGCTCGCTCTGCTGGATTCTTTCGCTTCTTCAGTTCAGCCTGGGTGCTGGACCTGCCTGCCACCTCATCTCACTCCAGCCAAGCACTCAGGCCCAGCTCCACTGCTGTCTGTCACCCCCTCGGCACAACCTCAGCCTACTCTCGCCTATGCGGGTCCGCATCGGGGATTCCTACCATCAGCTCTGCCTTGGCATGAGGCTCCCCTGTCTCCGCCTCTAGCCACAGGATCCCTGACTCCACCTCGGTCCTCCGACCCCTCATTTCCACTGTGGCTCGTCATCCCAAGGGCTCCACCAGGCTCCCTCATCCATCCAGCTCCACATTGGTCAGTCGTCGACCATTTGCTGACTTAGGACTCACTCCTCCAGCTTCACCTCATCACTCCGTCCCTCTGGATCTGTCAGGCTCCTCCCCCTCCCCTCCTCCTCCAGCTCTGCCTTCGTCACTCCAGCTCCACCGTGGTCTTCCAGAACCACACCTCCACTTCGGTTGCGGACTTCCGTAAACAGTGTTATCTGTTTTTATCTGTATTTTTGAAACTGTCCTGTTCACACAGGATCTCTTAACGGTAATTTACCAGTAAAGACTGTATCTGTGAAAGGGGCTTTTGTGTTATGGCACCTTTTTCAGAGAGTTCTTTGACGTGTGATTCTTTGCTGATTTTTGTGATTTTCTTTTTAGTATTTTCAGAGAGACAGGAGCTATATATATATATATAAATAATATTTTTTTTTTTTTTTTTTTAACAAGATAGAGAAGTCACAAATGAGAACATCTTGATTGAGATTAAATGGAGAGTGAATTGAGACTCTTGTTTACAATATTGCTTCTGCTGGTTATTCTCCTAAAAGAAAACTCCAATAATCTCACATCTTAACAATAATAGCAAACTATGCTCAGATTTGCCAAGATACTAAAATCTGCATTAAAAAGTAAAAAAATCTTAACATCAACTCGTTTTTTTTTTCTTCATCAAACTCTCCCAAGATCAAATCTAATCTGCTATCCACATTCAATTTGTTTTGCATGTCACTAATTTGTCTTGTTTGTTTGTTCATGGGAACAGATTTGGGGAAATTTAGCATTACATCACTTGATCACCAATGGATCCTCTGCAGTGAATGGGTGCCGTCAGAATGAGAGTCCAAACAGCTGATAAAAACATCACAATAATCCAAGTGATCTACACAATCCACTCCAATCCATCAATTAACATCTTGTGAAGTAAAAAGCTGTAAGTATGTTTGTAATAAACAAATCCAGCATTAGGACGTTTTAACTTTAAACTGCCGCTTCTGGCTAAAATTAGTCCATATTCCAAATGAACGCTTCCTCCAGTGAAAAAGTTCATCCCCCTGTTGTCTCTCACATCAAAATCCACCAACATATTTGTTTATGAACTGTTCTGGCCTGTTTTAGCCTGTAAATGGTGCTTGATCTGTGCATATTTCTTTCCTGATTCAGATGAGATGACTTTTCCATTGGAGAAAACAATATGGATAAAGGAATATTTTATCTCGATGCAACAGTTTGAAGTTAAAATCATCATAATGATGGATTTATTAATTACAAACACGCAACTTTTCGCTTCACAAGACGTTAATTGATGGACTGGAGTGGTGTGGATTATTGTGATGTTTTTATCAGCTGTTTGGACTCATTCTGACGGCACCCATTCACTGCATTGGATCCACTGGTGAGCAACTGATGTAATGCTACATTTCTCATCATTTTGCAAAACTCTCTACATATTGGATGGCCTGAGGGTGAGTACATTTTCAGCAAATTTTCATTTTTGTCTAAACTATACCTAGTAACAATACTAGTTAGCAGGGTTAGTAAGTCACTGTGATTCCCCTCAGCACCTACAGCACCTAAGTCTCAGTAGGGGTGGGGAGGAGAGAGACACTAATTCTGTCTTTCCTAATCCTCCATTCTGCAAGTCTTCTACGCTCATTGACCGAGTCCAACACAACACAAGCTAACAATTTTAGCTCACACTCACAACACCTGAATATGGGAGAGGGATTGTCAGCACAGTGGTAATCGTGATTTAAATATACGTTCATAAACCTGCGTTGACAAAGGTAGAATATAAGACAACCGGGACAGGACAGAAGTCAAGATGGGCGAAGCTCCAAAGGTACGTTTGTCACTTTCTCTGTGTTAGTATCACAACAGTACATTTGTGATCAGAAAACCCAGAGTAAACTAGTAATCTCTGCTGTAATTTACACCAGATTACAAAAGGACACAGTGATAGTTCTGGAAAAAGAATGCATTAACTTAATGGATATGCAAATGTAGGTTCATTTGGATTCAACGTCTTCCAAATAAACATAAACGTAGCATGTTAAATAATCTGGATAAATTCTGTACGCTTTAGGTTTGAGTTCTTCTAGTCTACATTCTGGGATGATTAGCATTGTCTTATTTAAAGAAAGGGGCCTAAGCAATCAGAGATGGGTCACGTGGCCCATGTAAATCTCATTACTGTAAACCTTAACCACATGAATGGGGCCTGGCAGACCAGTTTTACCCTGAGAAGATTCGTCTGATAACAGTGCAATAGTCAACAATTTGACTGATACTTTAAACTGCAGCTTTCTTAAATGCATAATTCATGTCCTAGAGTAAATTTGCTAAAGCAAAGCACCATTAGCTTAATCTGTTCACCCCAGAATGAGGCTTAATCTGTGCTTGAGAAAATACACCTGCATGCTAGTTTCCTTACTGCTTAGAAGTATAACAGTATTACAATTATTGCATTTTTTTTTTAAGGCAATTTTGCATTTTATT